TGTGTGAGACGTTTCCATGACATCAGAGGTCATCAACCCTCAGCGTGCCCGCCGTCACACTCTGACCGTGCCGTTTCTCGGTTGAGGTCATGAGGCCGTGTAAACACATTTGTCCCCGCCACACGAGTAATCCCTGCTCACACAGGCGGCGGCGTTCGCCCGCACGCCCGGAGCTTTCTCTGCGGCCTCGTGATGAAGGACACTCCGTGTAAGTCTGTTACACCCACAGAAACGTGCACGCTGTGACCTTCTCAGAGTGGCGTGGAAACGGGATCGATTCAGATCAGATTAAGAGTCGCTGCTGTTTGATCACGTGACGGCGTGGAGACCTGACTGTGATTCAGCCGCTGCACAAACCCACTGATGAGACACTTTAACCACAGATTAAATGTGAGCTCACGGAGCTGATGTTTGTTTCACTACGAAAGAAACTGAGTGTAGTTGTTCTGATGAGCAGTGCAGAGGAAACCGAGACACGACTGCAGACACAAACGGCGACACAAAGTCGTGTTCGTTTTAGCTTCTGCTGCCATTACTTTGACTTTACTGCTGCAGAAATACATGTGTGTCAGTGTGCAGACACAAACATGCAAACAAACGCAGATTCATCTTTACTCTCACGTCTGTCTGAGCGGACCCAGGAAAAACTGTTTGTTCACAGAGTGAGCTCTGTGCAAAGAGGCGGAGTCGGGGTTTCAGAGATGCACGGGAGGGAGGGCAGAGGGACTCTCGATCATCGATCCACACGCCGCGCTTCGTCCACGCTGCCAAACACTCAGGAATCAGGCGAGAGACACCAGGACGAGGTCACAGCTACGCTGACGTGAGGCGTGCAGGCGTCCAGCGACGAGACGCTCTGAGCCTCTGTTTAAATAGTGGAGGGACAGGATATAAGCCGCAGGTGCGTGGGCCAGAGGCGGGAGCCCACAGAGAGCTCCGCCCAGACAGGGCGGAGACAGGAGAGAAACAACAAAACCGTGTGTCCCGACCATCTGAGCAGATATCAGTTTATCAGTGTTTTTAATCACATCGTCATCGTCACTGCAGGAGGCCTTCATCTGTCTCCTCTTCCTCGTCTCATTCACTTCGCTGGCTGTTGTCTCAGAAGCCGTTCACTGCTGTAATAATTGAAAGGTCAGAACTCAAACTCTCCCCCTCCTCCTCCCTGACAGATGGAAAGGTGGACGCCTCATTAATCGACTCGTTTGCAGCGCTCTCCAACAAAACTGTTTATTCAGCATGGCGTGCGAGCTCTTGTCACATCATCCAGTGTCAGAGCCGGTTAGCTCGGCGCTCACGCACACAGAGACTTGCTAAAGTCGTCAGGTTCCCTCTGACAGACTCGGAAAAAGGCCAATTTTCCAAGTGCGAGAGCAGCTGGACAAAAGGCGCTCCGATAAAGCGAGCTGTAATTACAGCTTTTAACGAGCAAACAGCAATTTCACGGAGAGATAGAAACCCAAAGCCTTAATTCACCTCGTCAAACCCAACAGAGGAACAACAGCAGCTCGTGAGGAGAGAGAGCAGCAGAAGATGGTGGTGTAGGCGCCGGGATCGCGATGTTCCCTCGTCTCTGAGATCCTGAGCAGACAAACAACACAGCGAATCATTAAACACGGTGCAGGTTGTTTTGTGTAAGTTGATTTGTTTGCAGCAATATTAACGTGCTTATAAAAACAGTGAGCGTTCATGGCCTGCAGGGGGCGACCTGCCTCGGTCACCTGACGTGCAGGTAGTTACAGTTTCATGTGAGCGTCGTGTGTTTCAGACGCTGCTTCAGTTGGAGCTGAAACACAAACAGATGTTGCTCCTTAAAGTCGTTTCATATGTTACACCAACATGTTTTTAATAAAAGGCTTTAGAGCACCAGCACACGAGGACGCTGTGACCTATGGTGATGTCGCTGTGCGCTGCTTTTCTGTTGGGAAGGGGTCAGAGGTCAGATCTGTTTTTCCTCCACCGTGCATCTCACGGCTCGTTCCCCTGGCGGTCTGCGGCCGGCTGCTGTCGGCTGCACGTCTGACGTCTGTTTACAGGACGGTAATTACGTGACGCTTAATTAGCTGCAGTAAAAGGGGCGCTGCGGTCTGGAGATTGGCATCGCTGAGCGGCCAGTTGGCGTCCTCGCGAGGACGGCCGGAGGGAGCGATGGAGGACGCGAGGGAAAGGAGATAGACAGCCGAGCGAGTGAAGGAGATAAGATTGAGTCGGCAGCGTGGGAGAGACGCTCGACCCCGCTGACCCAAAAACAAACATTTAGACTGAAGCTGGAAAAAGCTGCAGTTTTAACTTGTTTTCTTCTTCTCTCGTCTCTTTGTTCAGATTCCTCGAAGCTGCAGTTTTAACTTGTTTTCTTCTTCTCTCGTCTCTTTGTTCAGATTCCTCGAAGCTGCAGTTGTAACTTGTTTTCTTCTTCTCTCGTCTCTTTGTTCAGATGCCTCGAAGCTGCAGAACCCCAGCAGGAAGCAGTCTGTCTCCAGAAGTCTGAAACATCTCTTCAACTCCTCCAACAAGTTTGTAAAGACACTGAAAAGGTCAGAAGCTGCCACGAGCCTGAGCACGCTCTCGCTGTCACTGTAACCTGCTAGGCTTCCTGTTCCTGTGGCTCCAGCACCATGTTCATTGGTTTAGGTGTGGCGGGTGGGAATTCTCACCTCGATGTTTTAGTGGAGATATGTGGATGGAGTTCCCATGGGAACCAGCTCAGTCTTGGTGGATGCTGCAGGAAGCCATCCCTCCCACAGACACTGATGTCAGGCTCGTGCTGCCCTGCTGGCATCAACAGCATCAGCCTTTTCCATGAAACCCGTGGAAGAAGTTCTCCTGGGTGGAATTTCCTGTGGTAGTCCTGCAGTGACATCAGTGGCTCCAACTCGGCGCCTGAGCTTTTCAGGACTGCTGATCTTTCTTATTTAAAAGTCTCTGATTGGTTTCAGTGACTCACACCACAGCATAAAGTTGTTTCAGGAAGTTGAAGCCGCTGATGTCAGAGCGATGACGAAGCTGCAGCAGGAAGCAGAGACGACGTTTTCCAGACGCAGGAAGCAGAATAACAAACATCTTTATCCTGATTTAACTCAGTAAACTAATAAAATGATCGTTTTTCAGTGTAAAGTGTATCATTAAGCACGCTAACCTTCCTCTCTATTCACCTGTGTGCGCCCTCCTGTGTGCAGGGGGATCTACCTGGCGGCCGTGTTCTACCATAAGGACAGTTTACTGGTGACGGCCGAGGAGCAGATCCCCATCGTGGAGGTCGATGACTCGTACAGCAGCTCGCTCATGCAGGACTTCCTGTGGTTCACAAAGGTACACAAATAAAACCTTCTCCTCATCATCGTCGTCTGTGGGGCAGCTTTGAACGAGCCCTCTGCTCCTCACACCCTTTCCTCCCATCATGTGTCGTATTTATTTCTGCTGCTGGATGTCTTTCATTCCCAGCAGGCAGCTGGTTTGGTTCACGTCGTGTTGCAGGGGTTTGGTCTCCCTGCAGCCTCTCTGTGCTCCCACACGTCTCTGTTTCTAAAGACTTCTGTAGGGAAGCTGCCAGTGTGACCAGTGTGACCAGTGTGACCAGTGTGTGCGAGCTGGAGTCATACTGGCTGCTTCAGCGCTCAGCAGCTTTTGCTTGGTTGCAGTAGGAGGGTGGAGGAGGAACAGTTAATGGACAGTTTTCACACGGTGTGTCTCTGATGTCAACTTCCTGTTTGTGTCTGCAGCTGTCCTGCATGTGGGAGGACGTCCGGTGGCTGAGACAGAGCATGTCGGTGTCCATGTCGTCGTCCTCCACCCTGCAGGCCAGGCACAAGATGCTCACCGCCGCCGGCCAGCTGCAGGTCAGGAAACCGACCAATCAGCTTCAGTGAAAACCGACCCGGCGTCCGACAGGCCGAGCGTCCCCGTCTCAGACCTGTAACCTGTAATGTTTACCTGCTCCACCTGCAGAACCTCCTGGGAACCCACAACCTGGGTCGGGTCCACTACGAGCCCATCAAGGATCGCCATGGCAACGTGCTGCTGGTGACGATCCGCGACACGGAGAGCCAGCACTCGCTGTTCAGCGGGAAGTGGATGCAGGTGACCAAACTGCAGAGCCAGAGGAAGTCTCTGTCCACGCCCGAGGAGCCCTACGCCCTCGACATCCTCATCATCACCATACAGGTGAGGCACAGGCGAGTGAAGTCACCTGACAGGAAGTCCTGATTTAACCCGTTTCTGTTTCTGCCCTTCAGGACATTTTGGCGTACCAGCGGCGCAGCACCCACCGGCTCGCCCCGGGACTCTACCTGGGCTACCTGAAGCTCAGCAGCTCCGTGGACCAGATCAAGGTCCTGGTGTCCCAGCGGACCCCCAACATGCTCTGCCACGCCCGCGTGCGAGACAACGCCAACGTGTCCAGGTACGCTTACCTGCTGAATAACAGCTGCAGTGAGACGAGTGCACGACGAGGGTGGGAGAACGGGGTCAGCGCTCTCAGGAGCTGAGAGGAGGGGGAAGGTTTCCACGCTGTTTCGTGTCAGTGAGGTCGCTCGCTCTCAGACTGCGGGGTTTTGAATGGCGAGCTCTGTTTGGTGCTGTTTCCGTGTGAAATGTAGCGCGAACGCTGGTTTGTTCCTGCAGCAGCACACGTGGCTGAAATGAGGTTCCTCTGCAGGGCGGCTGGGTCGTCTGCCCGGAGTCTGTGGCGGGTTGGAAAACTGGATTTCCTGGTTGATCCAGAACACGCTGGGGGAACACCTCATCTGGCCTGGAATCGTCTGGGAATATCTGGAAAGTTTTGCTGGCAGAATGGGCGTGTGCAGCTGCCTCATTAGTCACCAGTGTAACTGGACTTTGGATAAACAAAGGAAGCAACTAAAAAGGAAGCAAGAAACAAAGAGACTGAAGAAGAGAAGAAATGGACGAAGAAAAACAGGAAGAAGGGAACCAATGAAGGAAGAAGTGAAGAAACCTAATAGAAATAAAAGAGAAAATAAGAAACGAAGCTAATGTAGAAAAATGTCGACAAACATGGAAGATGCAAACACAGCAACCAGGAAGCAAGGAAAGAAGAGTCTAACAAGCTAGGAAAGGAAGGAAGGAAAGAAGAGTCTAACAAGCTAGGAAAGGAAGGAAGGAAAGAAGAGTCTAACAAGCTAGGAAAGGAAGGAAGGAAGCGATGAGCAAACCAACGAAGGAGGGAACGATGAGGGAACCGACTTGAATCTCGCCGCGTTACCTCGTGAGGCTCCAGCACCAGATGTTCCCGCTGTGAGCTGAAGTCAGTCTGAGATGTTCGGTGCGTCCTCGCTC